GGCGGACCCCCAGTAATGCCAGAGTCTCCCCGAACTGGGCGGAAGCTCGGGTTTTGCTCTGGGTTCTGCTGGAGGGAGGAATAATTCTGTCGGGGGGCACGCGCGCTGCGAGGGCAGGTGAGGAAGGGGGTCACTCTCCCTTTCCCGGTCCCCGACCCCATTGTCTCAGTCGCCTGCGGCCCGGGCCGACTCCGCAACACGTGTTGGCTGCACCGATATGAATGCCTTGGATTTTTTTTTCTTGTTATTATTTTGTGTTTGCAGAGTCAGTGAGCCGACTCCGACTCCGACTCCGGCGCACCGCCCTTCTGGCAGACGATTTTATACCGTTCAAAAGTCGGGAGTTAAAGGACGACACGCTGCACCTTTGTCGCCCTCCCCGTTTTCCCCGCTCACAGAAAAGAAATGGGGCTTGGGCGTGGGGGTGGGGGAGGGCTTCCAACTCGGTTTCTCCATCTCCACCACCTTCAAAACCCACCCTCCAAATCCGCGTTTTGTTCTTGCCAGCCACGTGTTTGTCGGATTTTTACTTTTGTGATTTTTTTTCCTTCCGTGGTTTCACGGAAATTAAAATACTATAAGCTATTAGTTGCTGAGTAGAAAAAGGATGCTTTCTATCCAAGAGGGTGGGCGGTATCTGTATTCCACCCCCACACACACACCTCCTCCCACCCTCCCCCCGTTTCTGACTCTTAATATTTAGTCAGCTCTTGACGATAAACAATTTAAAACAAACTAACGAGGTGGGAGCTGCCTGCCACATAGTAGGCATTCAATAAACTTTTTTTTAAATGAAAAGCGAGCCAATAGGAGCAGTCGAGCAAAGAAAATCCAGAGAAAAATTAAGAGTCCAGGAAAAAAATATTATCTTGCCCAGAATGAGTGGGTCTGTTGCCCTAGGACTCTTCTTGGTGATGTGTGTGTACTTTTGAAAGGGCTGAAAGATGGTCTCAGAAGGCTGTTCTACTCCTTGGCCTTTTCCTAAATATGGAGCCCCACTCTCCTGAAACTGTTTGTTATATTGGGAAGCAAGGAAGAGGGTACTAGGTAAGGCATTCCAGTTCCCAGAAACAGTTAGTGCTGCTTCCTTCATTTAATTTAAATCTTTAGGAATTAATAGAATCACCTCTCAGGTTTTCTCCCTGGGGAACATATCCACTACTCTATCTCTTTATTCCTAAAACAAAAGCAAGTTACACCCCACAAAAATCTCCATTCAGATCTCTAAATGCCTGTAAAATGCAGCTCACCTTTTCCTATCCTAAATTCAGAGGGAAACAAATTTTTTAAGTTAATCGTTGAATTCAGTTCACATTTAGGTTGATTTTTGTTTCCATTTAAAAATATAAGTCTAAATGTTAGCTGATGTTAGTCAGTTTTTTAAAATGTTTTTAAATGACGGAGGGAAAAATATAAATGTATTAAGTTAAAAGTTTACTGATAAATTGAAACTGATCAGTTCTTTTTGAAAATCAGCTGTTTCACTGAATTCTAATCCTCCCCCTGCCCCCCACCAAGGGCTTCTGTGTATAGTCAGAGGCTGCAAGAACACAAGAGAGAGGAGACAGCTGGGGTGAGATGCAGACCCTTTTCAGCCCCCAAATCAGTTTTGCCTCAGTGACCTGGCTATTTTAGGCTGAGGCTGGGGGACTGGATGATGTTGACTGGTGTTTCATCTCTCCCCTCTGAGTGAGCCCAGCTCTAAAATTAACCTGAGGGAAGGGTTATTTCTTGTCAAGACTCACATGCCCAGGTTGGGGATAGGAATGGGGTGACTTGAGATGCCATCGTTTATCATCATTCTTTTCTTTGGCTTTATTTAAACAACATCTAGTAAACATTTTATGTTTGTTTGTTTTTTTCTACACAGTTTCTTTAGGAAAGTTTAATCTTCAGAGTTAAATTCAGTTGGTGAGTGTTAAAAATACAGCTGCAGGATAAATTGTTTTCTTTCATAATAATTTTTAAAATTATTATCTTACGCTTGTTGTTCTCCTCTTCCTCCTTCTCCATTTTTTTTTTCTGGAGAAGTGTTTGGTCTAGTTACATAATTCAATTCTCTGAATTCAGAAACACTGAAACTTGACTCCATTTTAAAGATGGGATTTTGTTCCATTTTCCTTCAATGTGAACATACAAATATATGCAGAAAGAAAAAACAAAACAAAAAGAGAACAAAACAACTTTAAAAACTTCAAAAAATAAAGTGAAAAAATCAACAATTCCACCCTTGTCATGCAAAATTAATTTTAAGTATTTCCAGTTTTTTCCATTTGTAATAGTTTTATATTTTGTCATCTCATTTGTATATCTTGATTTCTTTTACTTGCTGTTGTGCCATAAATATTTTCCCACGCTGCCTCAAAGTTTTGATAGCTATCATTTTGAGCCAACATGTTACATTCAGCCCAATAGATGTAAGGTAATCATTAATCATTATTGTTAGATATATGGTACATCAGTTTTTTAACTTTCATTAGCAGTGGTGCTGAATAGATATTTGGGAGCATAGAACTTTTTCCTCTTTTAGATTAGCTCATTTGGATAAATCCCCAGAATATATATTGCATTTTATTTTATTTTTTATATGGATTTTAAATCTAAAATTTATCAATGACTTTCTATTTTCAAAGCTTCCATGTTTTAGAGAAAAGAGGACACAAACAAGTTGGAAAGCAGTTAGGGGGTAATACAATAAAGTAGAATTTTTCCATTTTTTAATTTTCTGATGAATCATAATAATATTGAAATAAATATATGGTTTCTATGAAATATAGAAAAAGAATGTTTCACATTTCCTGATATGAAAATTTCACATTCTCCTTTGACTTTAAGGTTTTTGAAGAAATTTGTCTTTTGTTTGCTTGGTTTTTGTTTATTTTGTTGTTGTTGGCTTGTTTTTCATTGTTACTGCCTTGGGATATTTATTTATTCCTGCAACTTGAAGTCCTAGTGTGGTTCTTTTAAATGCCTATAACTTTGAAAAAGTGTAAATTAGCCCCAATTTAAAAGCACATTCAGCATTTTCTCTTGTCAAATAAATAAGGATAATTATGTGTTTGTGATAAGTCATAAAATGTAACAGAATTATAAACAGAAAAGGAAATTTTCTCCTTCCAATTATTATGTAAAAGTGTTCAGTGTTTAAAATTTTAGAAAGAAATATGTTTATTCCAGAGATAGAAGAGATTCAAGGAGGAAAAAGAACTTCCAGAACAATCATTTGTTTTTCTATGGGTCACACAATGTGTGACAAAACTGCCCAATTTTTTGTTTTGGCTCAGGTTTTCAATGTAGAAACTTTTAGATAAGGAAGGGAATCGTTTATTTTAGTAACTTTTAAAAACTGGATGTTTCCAAATTCCATTTGTTAGTGAATTAAACTGCACCACACTAGCCCCTATTGACACATGTGAAAGGAATAGTCAATAACATTCCTCAGACTACATTAGTACTGCATTTTGCATTTTTTTCCACTCCAAAATCGTTTGGTTAAAAGATAATGAACAACTTTGTTTAGTCCCTGTTTTACACAAAATGTAAAATAGATCCCTGGTTTGTTTGAGGGGAAATTGTACAATTGAAGAAAAGACAGGGAAATTAATGTTATTTTTCAAAATAAAACAAGTTGTAAAAGGCAACAGAAGTGAGGGAATTTATACTTAAATGTTTTTTAAGTGGAA